CGGGAAGGGGGGGTAGCGGCTCCGGGGGCTCCGGTGGACTCTGCCGCGCCGCGGGGCTGCTGCCGTCGTGTCGCCTCCGACGTCCTGTCCGTCCCGTCGTCGCGTCCGCCAGGACCCGTGTCCGTGTGTCCAGCACTCCCACTCTGTGAGTTGTCCCCCTGCCTGGTGGCCGCCCTTCAAGACACTTGCTGGGAAGACCTTTAAGACACTTAACTTTTCCTTTAGCTTTTCTATAACTCCGATGTAAAGGACTTTCCTCTGTACAGTATAGTATCCAATGCATGTTCTGTTCTCTCTACTGATGTATTGAGCACCACGCGGTCGTGACGGCGCGGCGGGACGAGCGGCCCCTGCGCCCAGCCGAGCCCTTCGCCTCTCGTGTATGAGGAAAGGAGACAAAATATTTTTTTTTCCTTTGCTGTATTTGCTTGAGCAGAGTTTTCTTGTCTGTACATGTGAGCTGTGAGATAGATGTGAAAAGTTCCAAAAAGAATGCATTTCCCCCCACCCCACTGTATACAGATTGTAATCTGTACAATGAAAACTGTATGTATGAAAAAAAAAAAAACAAAAAATGTACTTATTTATAAATGGTTAACACTTGGACACAGAGTCCGGACTGGCCTTCTTAACCCTGTGACACTTCCAGGGCCGCCGTCCCTTGGGATTTGCAGAGATGCCACTGCACATCCCGCTGGGATGGGGCGGCCGCCAAGTGTGGGGACGAGGGTGCAAAGTGCGTATGTATGTTTTTTTTTCCTTTTAGGATCGCGTCTTCTCTAAGAGAGCCCAGCCCAGCCCAGCCCAGCCCAGCCCGGCCCAGCCCGGCTCCAACAGCAGCTCTTTGCTGCAGGACGGGGCGGTCGCTGCCTGCGCGCGATGGAGCAGATCCCGCGGAGCTGGGAGCACAGAGCGGAGCAGGGCCAAGTTTAGCTGCAAATATTTATTATTGGGGAGCATCCCCGAAGCGAACGACACATGGCGCGGGGAGGAGAAGGGTCCAAGCGTTAAGGCAGTAACGTTGCACAGCCCCGTCCTTGCGCCGAGCCGCCCGCGATCCCCCCGGGCTGCAGCAGCGGCTGCGTGAGCGCAGGGGGTTGGAAATAACGGGGAGAAACGAAGTGTAAACATCAGGTCTGCTCTTTGGCGTGAGGAAACGCACATGGACCTTGGCAGCCAGGGTTTTTCCTTCCTTTTCCCTCGTCCGCAGGTTCAGCTCGGAGCCCGGGTGCTGCCGGAGCACCGGGACCTGCTGCAGGGAAGGGCCCGTTGGGACAGCCTGGCTTGTGGATCCCGTCGGCAAGGAGAGCGGAATTTGGGGAAAATCACCGTGTTCCCTCCCCACTCCCCTCCGGCCACGCAGGTGACTCAACCAGAGTCATCCTGAAAGGAGGAAGGATTTTTTTTCCAGGAAAAAGCCGCCGATGGCTCCAACGGCCTTTGCAGGCCAAGGCTGGGAGGTAGGAGCGGGGCTGCTACAGAGCAGGGAAGGATCCGTTCCCGGCTCCCGCGCAGGGAGAGGCTCCTCCCGCGGGCAGGGAGGCTTCGTGGCGGCTGCGATGGGGCAGAGCGAGGAGCAATAAGGCCAAGTGACGCTGCGCCCCGGGGCCAGCGCTGCCCCGACAAGCAGGTCCTCGTCCTGCTGTCCCCGGGGCCAGGGAGCGGCGCCGGTGGCCGGGGCGTCACTGGCTGCCGCTGGGGCTCCCCCCCCC